TTAAGAAATTTATTTAAAACCAAATTTAGTGTATAATAGGGGAGGGCTCAAAAACGGCTATGCCTAGGGCCTACGAAAGGTATAATCCGGCTCTGTGAGTACCGTTTAAATGCATACTGGGCAGTGGCGCTTGACCGTAAAAAAACATTGATGTAGGGCTTACCGGGCAGTGGACCTAGTATATATTTCGGACTTTTACCAAAGCGTAATATTTACAGGGGCCAGTACAAATTAAATAATATTTACTGGGGTCAGAACAATATCAGCATTTACGCTGTAATAAAATTGAAAATAGAAGAGAAAATATGTGCAAATATTTACACAAGATTGAAAAAGAAAACTATCAACGACTTAGAAAAGGTGGTGACCCAGGCATCTTAACTCTCGAAACCATTTTGACTCTTCTTCGGAACCCTAGGGTTCTGCGGTACACAGTTTGGGAACCGCCGCTTTATAAGGCATTTAAAATCTTCTCTATAAAAAAACATTACATGAAATTTATCGTAATAAACACCTCCGTTCTGGGTGGCAGTACTTTTTCTGTAAATTCAGTTTTTGATAGAATAGGGAGAAAAATCAATGATAATAAAGTCGAAAGAATTTCCCCAATTTTTTTTTAAACCTGGATATTATTATTTCAAACCCGGAGAAATTATTTATCAAGCGAAAGCATTTATATTTGTAGCATTCGATACAACCTATATAATGTAAATCGAATAAAATACTTCAAAAAATTTTTATATGTTACAGCGAACGAGAAGAATTTTGTTATGACCCTCTATTGTTATTAATCTAGACGACTTTCCCCGGATTCTTTACCTTACAAGTTGAATAGAGACACGTGTACAGTAATATAACCTTAGAAATATTTTTTTCAATGTACGCTCATTGAGAAAATACATAATTTCTGTAAGCTATTTATTATAAAGTCATTTTTCTGTGTTATTAGTATCATGTCCGTATTCGTTATCAGTGTATTCATTTTCAATTCAGTCTGAAAAATAAATTATTCATTATAAAACTATTCTTTATAAAACTTTATTCCGGGTTTTTGGAGTCATGTCTCAGGCATTTAAACAAACAGATACCACCAGCATCCAGCTTCTTGAAAACGGAAGGACAGCTCTGATTGGTTGAAGAAACTACGTCATCTCATAGGAAGGCAGTTAGAGATTGAATTTTTAGACAAGTCCTTCAATTTTAAGTTGCATCTTTACAATATATGTATGCAGATGGTTGTGCAGGGTTCCGAGAAAAATAAAAACACAGCGGAAGAAATTTTATTTTTTTTACAGAATTTATAAGTGTTTTTTACACTTGCTCGGTATTCTCAACATTGAACTTTCTTTAAAGTTAAGACCCATTGTGCGGTTTACATTAGCCTGGTATTCACTGCACTGATATTTTTTGATGTTAATGGTCATTGCCCAGTATTCCGATCATTGAAAAGTTTTGTGATCTATACTAATGGCTGGTTGGTTGGTCCTAATGCCACTTGCCACACGGGCAAGCCTGCTTGGTGAAACCGAGCAAATTGTAAGGCAGAGTGTGCGATTCTTGTTTTTCAGTGGCGCCATCTATGGACAAGAATTCGACTTCTGCCACATCATACGTCACACCTGTTTATAGGGCGGACCCATTCATACATCCATTCATTCATCCACGGATCGTAATTTTGACCTGAATCAGAGAACGATCGGTCTCCAATCCAGTATCCTCAGAGGTATTGATTTGTTATGGGAACATGGAGGACTTTGCACCTCGACAGAATTTTAACGTGCATCAGTCACCAACTACTCGGGGAGTCTTTGGCCGGCGGGGTTCGAACCCACGAACTCTCGGACATGGGCCCAGAGCCCTACCGACCAGGCTATCCCGGCCTATACTAATGGTAAAACTTGTAACTACCGTTTAGTAATTTTGAATATTCTTTAAAAAATTTCGCAAATTCTGAAATCGAAAATAAATTTTATCTTCTGTTCCGAACTCTAGAAAATGCAGGCTTATATTCCCTACCTTTACCGATCAGCAGAAAAAAAATTCTCTCAGTGAGGGAGACAGTTTAGAATTGAAATATAAACTTCAATTTTAAAGTATCTTCCTATGTAATGACAAACTTTTTGACCAATTATAGCTTTCCTTGTGTTTCGTAGGAAACTGAATGGTGCAGGTATCTGTTTATATATATGTTTGTGTTATATCTGTGCTTCCATCTTATCAAATTGTTGAAAAATTACATCTTTTATGCAAGCTATTCATTATAAATCTTTTTATTTTTAGGTTATCGGCATCATGTCTGTGTTCTTCATCTGTGTTTCCATTTTATCATTTTGTTTGAAAACTCATCCTAACATGCGTGTCCCAGTTATCCGGAACGTTACTGTCCGGACCTCCCCACCGACAAACAATTCAAACGCCAGCATCACGCATGCGTGGACATTGGACAAAACGCACACCTATCCGCACGATGTGTTCTTCTACATCGAGTGCGTTTGCAATGCCTGGTTCACTTTCGAGATTTCTGTGAGATTCGTCGCCAGCCCGAGGAAAAGCGAATTCATATGCGGGGCCGTCAATCTCATCGACTTCACAGCCACCCTATCTTTTTACATCGATCTTGCCTTGCAGAGGTTTGCATCCCACTTGGAGAATGCAGATATCCTAGAATTTTTCAGCATCATCCGCATCATGAGGCTGTTCAAACTGACGAGGCATTCAGCCGGACTGAAAATCCTCATACAGACATTCAAAGCCAGTGCCGGGGAGTTAATCCTCCTCGTCTTCTTCTTGGTCCTCGGCATTGTCATTTTCGCTTCGTTGGTCTACTACGCCGAGAGGATTCAGTACAACCCGACCAACGATTTCAACAGCATACCCCTTGGACTATGGTGGGCACTGGTGACTATGACCACAGTCGGCTACGGGGATATGGTTCCAAAGACTTATGCCGGTATGTTCGTGGGCGCACTTTGCGCGCTGGCCGGCGTACTCACCATATCATTACCCGTGCCGGTCATCGTGTCAAACTTTGCTATGTTTTATTCACACACGCAGGCAAGGGCGAAATTGCCTAAAAAGAGACGGCGTGTTCTACCTGTTGAACAAGTAAGGGGGCATGTTATGAGAAGTAATTTACCCCTTAGAAATGAAGGACAACAGCCTGCGAGACGAATAAATGCACTTAAGCAAAATTTACCTAAAGATTTCCTAGGAGGACCTAGAAACGGTAAGTACCTTTATTCTTTGCTTGATAGTCCATTAACAGTTGCATTATACTTTTAATTTAAAATAATCAATGCTTAAAGAATTTTTTCAATAAACAGGAGCAAATATCTCTCACGCATAAATAAAATTAGATATACTTAATGATATATTTTATTCTCTCCCCAGGGCTTGCCACAACCGTGGAAATCTAAATAATAGCGAATGCTTTAACTGTTTACCTGTTATAAGTAAAATATATAGTAATGAAAAAAAGTGCATTTTTATGCAAAAAGTGGTAGTACAATGATGATTAAATGAAGTATAGGATAATAAGTACATGAAGTATAAGATAATAAGTACATGAAGTATAAGATAATAAGTATAGATAATAAGTAAATGAAGTATAACATAATAAACGAAATAAAGCTTATTTATTTCTTTACTTTCCATTTGGGATTCAAAGTATGAAAAAACGTGATTTTAAAATGCTATACATATTTTGTTATTGTTAATGTATTTTGTAGTTTTTAATGCATTTATTTTGTAAATTTCTTATCCAAGATAAATGCTGACGATGAAATAGTTAGAATTCTAATCTATATCTTTAATGAAAAGAAACAAGTTCAAAAATGAACATTAGCGTTTAAATGGTTAAGATATAATTTCGAGGCTGCCAAATTTCTACGTTTTTTTGAAAGAATTTCTACTAGTGGTACCGATGTTTATCTTTAATATATGATTCTTTAAATATCTTTTAATTAATTATTTAATTGATGATTCTTTCAGTAAATTTGAGTGAAAGTCATCTTTTTACCACTTCATAGGAGGAATTCAAAAGTTCATATTAAAAATCACTTTATTCCGATCTTCTGGGAGCGAAGCTTTTGGAAAACTGGTCGGCCAAAATTCTAATAACTTCAGCTTATGATTGTCTGCCTCTCTACAAAATATTTTGCAAAAAGCGTTGTAGTTGGCAGCTCTATAATTTTTTTTTCCAATTACTGTTACCAAAATATATTTAAAAACTAAATAAAATATATTTAGAAATTAAAACGAACCGGCATAATTCCAAAATTTAAATAAAGCCCTTAGGAGTTTTCGGCGATCTTTTGTTTACAACAATATGAACTTTTCCAATTTTGTTCTAGAATACAAAATATTTAATTTTCTTTTCACCCCAATTTGCATTCCAATTACCAGGAAGAGCCTCCTTGAAGATAAAATTTCAAGTTAGATGGGAAAAGGGCCGCCAACGGCCTCGGGCGCCCCGATAAATTTCGACGATGATGATGATGTCAACTGTTCCGTTTTCAACAGAACAATTTATAAAGTGGTAATAGAATGGGGCACTAAAACTATCAGCATTCTCTATAATTTTGATGATTTTTTAAAAGTCTCTTCTCAAAATTTCTGAAAAAAAGTGGCATTTTACGTGTATGTTAAAATTATTTTAAGTGTAATGATAGGCAAGATGTTTTTCTATTATTTAAATTTACTGAATCAGAAATCAAATATTATTTTGATACAACTTAACAAAACAATTTCTCCCAACCCGGAACAAGTTGGCATCACTGAGGTTGCGGATACTCTATTCTTATTATCCATTGGCAAAATGGGTGCTGTTTTGGGTTTAATGGCGTGCGATCCTTATTTGGACGCCATCACACTTTTCAACTGTGTTCAAAAATAATAGTAAACAGAGCGCATGCGTCGTCATTGCATGCATTGCTATGGCGACCACTGCTGTTTGATAATTTTTTTAGAATTCTTTTTTCCTTTTTATTTTCATCAGCATTCTTAATGTATTTACGTAGTAATAATTTAGTATTTTTATATTCTTTTTACTATTAACGTATAATTACTATCTTGACGGTGATTTTAATATAAGTATGAATTTAATATAAGTATTTTGTGACGTCTTGAACCACGTATATTGCCAGGATATGAAAACCAATCCGACGACAAACATCCATTGAGACAGTTTTTGCAACCCATGATTTGAAATGTTGTGGAGTTTAACGGAATTAGACAAGAAAAAAAAAAGATTTGACCAATGGGTAATCAGATCAAATTTATTAAATGAAGAATCAAATATAAAAACATTAACTACTAAAATTCTAACAAAGCGGAGCAAGTTGTCATTTCTGTAATGGTAAAAATGTGAAACATTTTTATTTTACTATTTCTCACAAAAAAAATCTAAATTTTACTTTCTTCTAACATTTCATTTTAATTTTTTAATTTAAATTGCAATATAATAAATTGGCAGGTATGTGATGAGCTGCAGATTCTCCCATATCTCAAAAATAAACTAACCAATTAAATGCATAATAAAATTTAAAATGAGAAAATAAATTCTAAAAAAAATTATCAAACAGCAGCGATCGCTATAGCAACGCATGCGCAATGTTTAGTGTTACTCAAGAATAATCAGGTATGGTATGGTAGGTACTTTATTAACGTCGTACTAGAGGTGCACAATGGGCTATTGGCGATGGTCTGAGAAATATCCCTGAGGATGATCTGAAGACATGCCATCACAATTTTGATCTTCTGCGGAGGGGATGGCTCTTCTGCTTTGGTATCCCGACGAGCTGCGCGCGAAGTCGAGAACTTTAAGGTAGAAAAATTTAACGAGGATCGATACCGCGCACCCTCGGTCCTTACGCAGGCTGATCAAAGTGCTCACCCACCCGCTTACTGACCGCAGCCAGTGATGCTTGACTTCGGTGTTCCACTGGGAACCGTGTCTTTACGATCAGTTCACTGCGGGGTCACTTTTAATCAAATTTATTAAATCAAGAATCAAATATAAAAACATTAACTTCTAAAATACGGACAAAACGAAGCAGGTTGTTATTTCTGTAACGGTAAAACTACAAAACATTTTTTTTAATATTTCCCACACAAAAAAAATTATAAACTTTACTTTTTTCCTTCATCTCAATTTAATTTTTCAATTTAAACGACTATATAATAAATTGGCAGGTATCTGAGCTGCAACTATGGAATAATTCTGAAGGAAATAAACTCTTTTCAGTTTGTCGGTTTCACCTTAAATTCTTCCACACATACGGGGAAACGTCATAGCCTTATGCGTCGTTGATAAATTATGATAATTCTCTTCTTCAAAAATCTCATTTACTTTTCATACTAAATCCTTTTGGGGAAAGAGACAAATCCGTAAACTGTTCAGAAATTTAAATCACCTTGAAGGGTAGAAAGCTTGAGACTTAAATCCGAAGAGAAGTCCATTGGATTTATTTAACAAAGCGGATAAATTTATTTTGTCACTCAGTCGGGAAATGTGATCTTAAAATTTCCCTCGAGTTTTTTTATTCTTTATTTTCATCAACTTTACTCTGTTCTCAAATTGTTCGCCTTTTAAATTCGCGAATTTCTAGCGTTCTTTTTAACCCTTTGAGGTTCAAACACCTTTATACCTATTCACACCAGATTTTTTTATATTGCAAATGGAAGCGAGCATAAGCGAGTGGAAGTTTATTGATGTAGGGGAGAGTCGGGTAGCCCAACCCAGCGGGTACCCCCGCCCACTGTCAATTTCATATGTATAGAATATTTTTTCTAGTCAATGGGCCATCGGACATAATTTTTATATTAAAAAAAATATTATTTTCAAAGTTTCAAGTATTTATGCAGCTGGTAACATGGTAAATAATAGTTTTGAAAATATGTTGAATACAGTAGTCATGAAATTAAGAAAAATTGGTTGAATGTTTCGATTAAACTTCAGTTTAATACTAAAAACATATTCTTTTCTATACATACAGCATTAAAGTATGTAGTCTTAAGTTTAATTTGCACAAAGAAAGAAGTTTGTATGTAAAAAATTGTTCGAGTAATTACAAATTTACAAAAAAATTGGATTTCGGGTTGCCCCACTCACATGATGTCGGCTATCACCGCCCAATTTTATTTCGCGGATAAATGTATGGTTGCAAAGATTATTATTTTGTTGCTTCAAATTTGAATGTTGTATGCATTTTTAACAACAAATATATGTTTTAATATTATATAAAACATAAATTTATATATTTGAAAATGAAAAATTAAATATTTTTAAAATGTAATTGATATATCCAAATTAAATTTAATATCAAGAAATCATAAATATTATGATAAGCTATTTGCTTACATATTTATTTTCACTTATTTGTGAACGAATCAATCTACAGAAGCATTCGAATGCAATCAAAATACAAAGTGAATTAGTAATTTTATAAGAAGTATTTTATATTAAGTTTATAAGAAGAGATCAACCAAGCAAGCTTATATTGAAAAACAACTATTGTTATTAATTATTGTTACTTAAATTAAATTATTTTCGTTAAATATTTAATATAAATATATATGTATTAATATTATAATATATTAATATTATAATATATTAATCTACATCAATAATGATAAAAAGTATGACATTTGTTGTTATTAAATGATAGAATTCACTAAAAGTATATAAATATGTAATAAATAAAATAATTTTGTGATAAAAATAATAAATGAGGTTTATCTATTGTCAATACATTGGTCATTCTCATTTACACCTGAAAAAATAGCCAAAAAACGCAATTTTTTAAACGGGGCGGGGCTACCCGACACATTTTGAAAAGAGCTGAAAAACATGTTTTTTTAAATTTCTATTTTTTTAAGTTTAACTATTCTTTTTTTTTGGTTTATTCTTTTTGAATTATTTAATTAGATGATAAAACAATAGAAACATACAAAAATGTTGATTATTACTCAATATTATACAGAAATATAAGCAATACAAAATTAAGTGAGCGGGGCTACCCGACTCTCCCCTATATGTTACCGGTAAAGTTTGAAATCCGGCATTCTATAGAATGCCTAGGCATTGTATATAATGCCTAAAACTAGCCGGCAATGTATGAAATGATTTATATTTCACACATTTCCTAGGCATTCTATAGAATGCCAAGTGAGAAACCGGCAAAGTATAAAATCTTCTGTGGCCATGCTAATAAAGGTGATGAAATG